GGCACTTTTCAAATAAAGGATAAAGAAAAGGAGACATTTAGAGAACAAACGAGAAACTTTTGGAATGCTGACCTGACTTCCTCACTATCGATAACCATATTACGTACAATGAAAATATGATAATTCTCAAACACTATGAAGTTTGTGAAAATATCATGAAAAAATTTATAGATTAACGGGTCAATTCTGTGCACATCTGTAAGCAAATCTATAAATTTCTATAAGCCTATAGACACTGCAAAACGCATCGATTGCCAAACACCCAATCGGAAATATTAATGATCCTATAAGATATTTTGTAATCTACAGAAAGTGCAGAACTGCAAATTGTCTAAAGGCAGCTATAGGCTTATAGAAATTTATAGAATTGCTTATAGACGTGCACAAAATTGACCCATTAGTCATAACTTTAAAATCTACACGAGAAGGTCTAAGCACCAGAAAACCTTTAGAAGCCATGGATAAATTATACAGATTGCAGAATAAAAAATCGAAAACTACAGAGACTGGCACAAATTTACAGGACAATCAGAGTCAAACATGATTTACTGTATTCCTTTCATGCATCGAGTTACACCGAACGAGCTCCTCGGAGTCACTCGAAAACACACAATTCAGATTTTATCATTATTTTTTAATATTAACATTACCGTCATTACCTAAAAAAGGTTCTTGGACCCACCGCAACTTTGGTGCATAAGGGGAAAGGGGGATGCACTATGAGCGACTCGAGTGCTTAACGCACTTTTAAAAGGAACATTCAAGCTTTTAAAATTGAGCAGCTCCGAGTAACTCAACGGGTAAAAGGAATACAGTAATTATGAACAATGGATGAACCTGAAATAAAAATGTAAAAAAATTGGGATTTACTTTTTAATGTAAAAGTGAAACTGTCAAGCTTCGAATCAGCTATAGTCAAAATTTCGATAATACACCTAGCTCAATTTCCATTATTCAGAGGTAAAGGTTTATTTTTATAGTTATTTACATTACAAGTGCGTTTATGAACATGGTTACAATAACGAGTGTGGAAGATTAGAACGATGAGGTCGTAGACCGAGTCGTTTTAATCACACGAGTTTTGTAGTCATATATAAACGCGCGTGTGATGTACAACGTTTTATCTACAAAGCGAAAAATAAGAATGTTTTCTCAACTATTTTCGTTTATTGGTTATACAACTCATTGTACATTATTCCGTTGATTATTCCCATATGACACGAGAGGCTTAAAAGTGATAAGCCTTTTGGGATTATCGCGCTTGGTGGCAATATTGTTATTAATAATAAAAATTGATAAAGTATTGAAGTTTAGTTCATTGTATAACCTTTTGAATACCACTCGATGTTTCAGGATTACCTAATATTTTTACCTGACACTCAACGTGTTACCAGCAACACCACTCCTCCTTCGGAGTCGTGGTGTTGCTGCGTAATGCGTTTCGTGACAGGTAAAAGTATTATCCGGTAATCCTGAAACCTCTTGTGGTATTACATTCGATAGTTGTCTACCTTCATTCTACCTTTACAGGTTTAACGTTGACATTTGTCAAATCACCAGAAATAGTTGTGTTATGAATTCATAACCTAGTCCATAACACCACTAGTTGTGTTATGAGTCTCATGACATAACTCAAATACTAGAAAAATGGTTGTGTAAAAACGTCATAACCAAACGCTTGTAGATAAAATTATTTCAATTTTCGCAGAAACCAACCCAATTGAGTTTTTCCGCAATATCAAAATTGGTGATGCCGCGAAGCGGAACTAAATGCTTACTTTCGTCTCGTCTCAAGGTCTACTTTCAGGTCCAGACGAGAGTAAAGAGAATGAGACTAATCTCGTCTCGTCCTCGGTATTATTTTTTAGTACCTACATTTTTAATATTTAGTCGATGCACTTTAATGTATGTAATTTGTCATTAATTTTAGATCCCCCTGACATGCCACAAAATGAGTACCTATTCTGCAAAACATAAAAAATCAAAGTTCTAAAGGATGCTTTTAAGAAATCAAGAGCTCTTGGAATAGCATCAAACTTCATCTCATAATCTAGTCTAGATATATACACAGGGCGAGCTAGATAAACTGACACATTTTGCAGGTAAATATCTCGAAAACGAGAAGAGATAACAAGATGAGGTCTATTCACACAACGATTTACAGTAGGATTGCCAAATCCTATAATTTGCTCTGAAGTTTAATTTTACAGACATGCGATTTTTTGAAATAGAATTACTTCCTTATTTTCCGTAGAACACCCTGTATATTTTGTCATCATCAGAAAGCCTGATTTTTCTTCTTTACAAAAAGTATAATTTTTTTATCTTGAAATCACATCGTAAAAATTACACTTTGTGAAAGAGGGTACCATCAACTGGCCAAAAAAAAAAAAAAACTTCAAACTAGTGATACTTCAAACTTTCAGGATTTATTGAGTAGGGTCTTTCAATCAAACATAACAAACCGCGAATGGATCTTAGGCTCAGAAATGAAATAATGAATTTTTTCGCACTTAAATGCAATAAAATCATGTAAAATTTCTACTAAATCACCTTTGAGAGCTTCTGAAAAATACTTCAAGAAATCAGAGGGATTTCAAACTTTCATGATTTATTGAGCAGGGTCCTTTTATCGAAATAATTCATTTTTTTCTCAGTTAAATGCAATAAAATCAGGTAAAATTTCTATTAATCGCCTTTGGAAGTTTCTGAAAATTAGTTCAAGCAACCGGAGGGATTTCAAACTTTCAGGATTTATTGAGTAGGGTCTTTTTTTCGAATAAACTGCGAGTGGATCCCTGGCTAAGAAATAGAATTATGAATTTTTTTCTCACGTAGATGGAAAAAAAATCATACAAAATTTCTATCAAATCAACATTGAAAGCTTCTGAAAAATACTTCAAGCAATCAGAGGGATTTCGAACTTCAAGGATTTATCAAGTAAGGTCTTTTTATGGAACAGAACAAACCGCGAATGGATCTCAGGCTCAGAAATGGAATCATGAATTTTTTCTTTCTTGGAGGCAAAAAAATTATTTAAAATTTCTATTAAAGCACCTTTGGAAGTTTCTAAAAATTACTTCAAGCAATCAGAGGGACTTCAAACTTTCAAAATTTATTGAGCAGGGTCTTTTTATCAAACAGAACAAACTGCGAATGGATCTCAGACTCAGGAATGGAATTATGAATTTTTTTCTCACTTACGTGCAAAAAACTCATAGATTTCTATTAAATAGGTAGGTACCCATTGGAAGCTTCTGAAAAATACTTCAAGCAATCAGAGGAACTTCAAACTTTCAGTATTTATTGAGTAGGGTCTTTTTATCAAATAGAACAAACCGCGAATAGATCTTAGGCTCAGAAATGAAATTATAAATTTTTTCTCGCTTAAATACAATAATCATGTTATATTTCTATTAAATCACTCTTGGAAGCTTCTGAAAAATACATCAAGCAATCAGAGGGACTTCAAACTTTCAGGATTCATTAAGTAGGGTCTATTCATTGAACAAAACAAACAGCGAGTGGATCTCAGGCTTGGAAACGGATTCATGAATTTTTTTCTTAGTTAGTTGCAAAAAATCATACAAAATTTCTATTAAATTACCATTAGAAGCTTCCTGGAAAATAGGTACTTCAGCAATCAGAGGGATTTCAAACTTCCAGGATTTATTGAGGAGGGTCTTTTTATAAAACCAAACAAACCGCGAATGGATCTCAGGCTCAAAAATGGAATTATGATTTTTTTTCTCACCTAAATGCAAAAAAATCATATAAAATTTCTATTAAATCATCTTTGGAAACTTTTGAAAAATACTTTTAGCAATCAAAGAAACTTCAAACCTCCAGGATTTATTGAGTAGGGTATCTTTTAATTCAGCAAAACAAACCGCGAGTGAATCTCAGGCTCAGGAACGGAATTATAATTTTCTATCTCACTTTAGATGCAAAAAAATCATGTGAAATTTCTATTAAATCACCATTAGAAGCTTCTGAAAAATACTTCAAGCAATCAGAGGGACTTCAAACTTTCAGAACACCCTGTATTTTATTGGGGGAAAAATCAGGAGTAAATTCCTCTTTTAAAGTTATTACAATCTTGTAAGATGAGATGTGAAGAATCTATAGGATGATGTATAAAATTTAGTTTGTATGGCTCCCTAGAAGACAAAAATCGCTTTTACATTAATGGAATGGAAAAAACTTTCAATTTTATTGATTATTTAATAAACAGATTTTATTTTTAAATCAAATTATCACAGTTTATAATAGACTTTTCAGCAAGGAGAATCGGCTAATCAAATTTAAAACGCACGAAGTTGTTAATGTTAATAATAATTAAGTTTGTAATGCTTATTAAAAATTTAATTCTAGTATTTATGCATTTATTTTTATTTTTTTTTCAAATTTGTTAATAGTTTTTTTTTATATCTATGTAGGTAATCTTGTTCAGGCGAATATGCAATATCTATCGAATAATAATGATAATAAATTAAATAGATGTTTTAATTTATTTATTAAATTTTTTGATCGATTCCTGACATTCATCCAAATACATATTACGTCAAAATCATTAAAACTTACCAGGAACTGTATTGTGTGAAATTGAAATCAAATAAATACAAATTGAAAAATATTTACAAAACATAAATTTAGGAAACACGATTCTCAATGCATTAAAAACTCTAAATTATTCTGGAAAATTGTAAAAATTAAAAACAAAAAATCAATGCAGAATAAATAACTTATTCAAACTAATTTCAAATCAACATGGCCCTATTAACTATTTCAACAACACACCATTTTTTGATAACAAATCTACATCAAGTATATAAACTGTTATAAATCTATTAAAATAATCTATCTGATCGAGAATTGAATCAAATTGCATTGAGACGTTAAAATACCATATCGATCAAAAGATATTTTAAATGCACTCTGCCGCAGGAATATCAAACGCTCAAATCAAAAAAAAAAAAAGCTCTATACCGATAACTTACCTCTTTTTACTGTGTCCCACTTTATCCAATTCGATGTGCCTGTATGCAGCGTAAGTGGCCATGTCTAAATTGAAAAACAGTTACAAACCAATGAAGATCCGAAGTTTAGTTAAGTTTAAAAACAGAAAGACGGATCGGCGATCTCAAATAAATTCTCCTGCGCTCCTGCCTGCCTGTAATTCTATTACGACCTAACACTACTGCTAAAAGCTAACTGATCGGCAACAAGAAATGTAACACGATTTTATAGTCGCAGGGGTTATGTGCAACAGAGCAGAGCTATAACCTACTAGGTGTTCTTTTTTTTCTGCTCTTTTCCGCTGGCAGGATTTTTTTTAGAGGATTCGGTTGACAGATTTTTGAGAATCTAATGTGATTTAGGACTTTTTGTATGAAATCTATTAGACGAAAAGAACTGTAAATGAAAGACAATGCTATATATTATGAATTTTTCAAATTAATTATATCCAAGGTGTAACTGGAAGTCCAAACTAACACAACTTCATCCATAAAAACTACAAATATTTTTGAAATTTGTAGCCAAAAAGTCTATGCACTCATAAAAATATAAGAGAAAGCATCTCTATATTCAAACTCAAAAGCTCTTTATTCAAATTTATAACTATTTTTGTATAGGAATTAGAGCACATAGGTGAGCCATAAAGAGCTTGCCTCTGCATCATTTCCCTAATAAACCGATTTCAAAGTTATCTTTATTTTTTTATAAAAGATTTACATATTTAATTTTTAATCATTAACGTTTTATACTTAGATAGTTATCTTCGAGCTTTAATCCAAACTATCTCATCTCAGTGTTATAGAAGAATTTTGCCAAAAAATCCATCAAAATTATCAATATTTCCATTAAACTGAACTCAGATATGTATTAAAAAGGTCCAAATGAAAGAAATGAATATTATAGTTCGTGAGTAGTCTAGTCATCAGACAGTTATGCCCATAATTTGTTCTGTGGTCTAGTTCTTTTGCCAGGGACGAGGAAATGGATTTCTTGTGAAAGTTTAGGTGAACAAGTAATACCACATATCAGCTCATACAAAAAGATTGATTGTGCATTCTGACGTCTATTTTCCAGACTAGTTAAGCGAACGCGTGTTCTAGTCCACATCCTGATAAGGAAATCTTAGTTTGCATAACAAGTATTTTGCAAATCTATTCTGAACTCTTTCGATCCTCTAAATGTGACAGTTATAGTTAGGTGTCCAAATAATACTACAGTATTCCAATGTAGACCTTATCAGACTGTAGTAAAGTGTGGTTATTGCTTTGACATCATATATATCTCTGGTGTTTTTTTTGATAAAGCTGAGCAGTCTAAAACTCTTGAGCACAATAGTGACGATATGTTTAATGAAAAACAATGTGACTTCCAAGTCTTTTAATGGTACCTATCAACAGTCTCCAATCTTTTATTTTCAAGAAAATATATGTGCAGGAATGAATTCGTTGTTTTGTAGAAACTTATGTGCTTGCACCTCTTGGGATTAAGTTTCAACAGGTTACTGTTATACCAATAAGCAAGTCTATCTAAATAGGTTGGGTTGGAAAGGGTTAGGATCTACAGTAGCAAAAAGCTTAAGGTCATCGGCATACAATAGACACCGTGAACCTTTGAAACAACCAACGTCATCATTAATAAAAAGCACAAATAAAATTGGGCCGATGTGTGATTCCTGAGGCACACCAGCTGGTTCTGAAAACTCATGTGAGAGTACACCGCACATGTTTACACGTTGTTGGCGACCAGTGTAGGAGCGAGTCCAGGAAAATAAATGTTCACTATAACCGATGCATGATAGAATGATAACTTTCTCAGTAGAATCTTATGACAGACGCTGTCGAAAGCTTTAGACACATCATGGACACATCTGTATATGTGACGCACAGATTAACCCGTCCTAAAGATAGGAAACTTCCATGTAAAATGTTCGTTCGGAGCTGTCTAAAAAATAACACGTATGAGAGTTTCATGACTGCCAAAGCTATGCGGCGCTAGTATAGCAAAGCCACAAGCAAATGTCACCTGTGAACTGTGAATGAATGTAATTTGTCATTATATTTACCATTAGTCAGCCGATGGTCAGCCGTTTGATGTGTGTTAGTGTTCATTATTTGATTTTCTATCAATTTTTGGTAAAACTTTGACTTCCTAATATGTTTTTAACAAAAGGGACCTTATGTTACATGTGAACATTGTGGAAATGGTTTTAGTGATGGTATTTATTTACAATTTTTGACATTCACTTAAGGAGTCATTTGTGCACAAGACCTATCAACTTTTTAGTGTTTTTTTTTCAATACGATTTTCTGTTGTGTTGAAGGCTGTTCTGTTAAAGAAGGAGATAGTACTGAAATGTTGTTGTTTTATTTTCAAAAAATAGGGTTTAATGATAAAGTGAAATTGATTAGACAAATTATTTGAAAAAAGGCGGGAACCACATGTGCACACTAGCGCCACCATGCTGTGGCAGTCATACAACTCGCTGCATGAGTAAGACAAGGATAGGGAAAAGGCCTGAGTTTCCTATCTTCAGGACGGGTTAATCTGTGATGTGACGTCAACTTACTTCCCTGACTCCAAAGAAACAGTTAGGGCTTGTTCATAACAGGCCAAGTTTGTAGCCGTCGATTTGCCTTGGCAGAAACAATGTTCATTAACGATGTAATTCTTGTAGCAGAAGTAAATGTCGTCAGTCAGTATGGATTCCATTATTTTGGGAATATGAGATAAAACAGATATCCCTCTATAGTTTTTAATGTTGGTATTTATATATACGGATGAGATTTGATATTTTCCATGTAGTAGGAAAGATTCATCTGTCGAAAGAAAGCTGCAATAGTTAGTTGTTTAAGGGGGTTTAACAAAGATGAGCCGCGCTCTTTTAAAAATATAGGTGATACTCCGTCGAGTCCCGGACTCTTGGAAATGTCCAAATCCAGGATATTCTCCTTTATTTTTTCAGCCGTGAACGCATAATCTGACAAGGTTGCTCCAAAATCGAGGAAGTGATTACGTTAAGATGCACGTCAGGATGATCAGAAAAACAGTTTTTAAAGTGTTTGGCGAATAGTTCGACAATTTGTCTCGGATCGGAAGTTTTGATATAATCCAATTGCATATGGGATGGCAGACCTGCATCCCTTCTAAGTGACTTGATGTAAGACCAAAAATGCTCAACGTTTGATGATGTCAAATGTTGAGTCTTGGTTAGATGAAGCAGGTAACATCTGTATGAAACCTAACATTTCGTCTCGCGATTGAGTAGGCTCTGTAATCTGATCCTGACCGCGATCTCCTATACTTCTTGTACAGTTTATTCTTATGACCGATTAGTTTCCTTAGTTCACAGTTGAGCCACTTTGGATACTTGTTAGTTTCAATTACCTTCTTGGGTACAAATAAGTCGATGCCCTGGTATATTACTTCGTAGAAGTGAGCGACGGCAACGTTTGGATCAGAAAGTTCCCAGTTAATGTTGTTTAAAAACTCGTTAAGTTGTGCGTAGTTTGCTTTCTTGAAAAGATAAACACTGATGGGATTAGTATAAGGAAGAGTGAGGGAATATCGACTACTTAAGCGCTGTTCAAAATTTCAAGTAGTAGGTAATCTTTGTGATAAGATGTCCAAAATGAGAAAATTGATGGTTTACTTCATCTATTATGAGTTTTTTCAATTGGATTTGCAATCAAACAAATGTTTTTTTTTTAGAAATTATGTTTTTTTAGAAATACGAAAAAAATTGGGATAATTTCCACCGGTAGGATAATATCGACCATGGTGAAGGGCAAAATCGACCAAACAGTAATATTCGGGAATTAATTTAAATTAAACGTTTTCACGCTGAGCATAGGTCACAAGTATACACAGACGCTTTTTCAGCGTTAGTACACGGCATCTCCACCAAATGTCATTATCATAACTAAATTGTTCACAACCAGTGCAGATATCATTACCTACTTTTTTCTTCATTCCAACTGACGTTTTCCCTTTACCTATAATTTTTCTTGTAACCTCCAATTTTTCATTTTCCTCCTTTTTTTGCTTCTAAGATGTCTTATTTTCGAGCTCTTCTTTCAATGGAGTGGATGTTAATATTTGAGAATGTTGCCTTTTCGCTGTGAAGTTCTTGGTTGAGAGACTAGAGCTGAACATAAGTCTCGAAAAGAAGTATTTGTCTTTTTTTCTTTAATTTTTAGGGTTTTATCATTATCATCGCTTAAGTTATCTTCACCAACTTCTTCCAAACCAAATTCAGAATCAGAAGAATTTGATGGCAATCCATTACATAATATATACAATCTGCCTGGTTCTGGAGAAGGAGTTTTATGTCTGGGTGCTATTTGTTCTGAAATGCCCTGCGGTGTTAGTCCAATCAATGGTGAATCTTCTGTTGATCTTCCTGGTATAATTCCACTTGGTCCTGGTTCTGGAGAAGGAGTCTTATGTCTGGGTTCTGTTGGTTCTGAAATACCCTGGGGTGTTTGTCCAGTCAATGATAAATCTTCTGGAGTCTTTGTACTCGGCGAATCTTCATTATCTTCATAAAGTCTTCCTCACAAAACGCATCACGATTGATGGGGTAGTTTTGAATCTGTTTGAAACCTTCTCTATCTATAGGTACCCTATTGTAAGAATTGCCAAAAATCTCGGCTATATCAGTGTCTTTAATTTTTTCATAACTTCTACTTTTCATGTACCCTTGACATTCTTGCTGGTATGCAGTCTTTATAGGCTTGAAGAAAGTTACATCGAGAGGCAGTGTTCTGTGAGAGGTATATGGGGTGGAAGTGATAGTAAATGAATGCCAGAATTTCAACAAAAATTGTACGAAGCTAAAAAGGAATGAGTGGAATGATTATCCAGTATAAGAAGGCTAGGTTGCTCTGGAGTGGCATTAGCATACTTTGCAAAGTGTTGCAACCATTCAGTAAACAGCTCTTCTGTGATCCATGGAGATTTCGAGCATTTATATATCGTGCCTGCGAGGCCATTTTTTTCTAAACCATCTTTCATTCTCATTCTCTTGAAAATAAATATGAGCGGGATATATTGCCCTGATGCACTAAAGCAGCATACTATAGTATAGTATTTTGTCCCCTTTCTCCACTTGTTATCGCGCCAACTTGTTTTTCTCCTTTTTTTGCCAATATACTACCTGGATTGTTAACAATGGAAATACCCGTTTCGTCGACGTTGTGTATATGCGATATTCTTCAAATAGTAACTCTAGATTATTGAAAAAAAGATTTATTTCGCCT